CCGCCAGCTGTTGTCCAACTACTGTGTGAGGGCGGAGCCCCGCCAGGAAAGCACCACTCTGATTGGTCACTCACGCACACCGCACATCGAGCCAGAGGAGACCATCATCCTGCCCGGCGAGTCCCGTTCTGAGCAGGTACACACGAAGACGTATTGGAACGAGCTGATTGTTGTGTGCGCCCTGTTGGCGTTCTCCCTCGTGGTGTTCTCCTTGTTCGTCATCTACAGAAACCGAGATCATATGAAGTCCATGCTGAAGCAGGGAGAGTGTCCTAACATGCAGCAGAAGAAGCCGAGGATAGTGGGAAAGCCTGCAGAGAGCTTACCCCTAAACGGTAACACCATCCCTGTTTCCACTTCTGATCACAAGGGCTACCAGACATTAAATGACAACTACATCTGCAGCACACCCACCCACGAGTCCTCGCCAGACAACAGCAAGAGCTTCTCCGAGTCCTCCGACAGGCGGCCGCTTAACTTGAAGGAGAGCCACGTGGAGTACTCCCCAACCTGCCCTCGACCCAGAGTGAGGCTAGGCTCGGAGATCAAAGACTCTATCGTATGAGAGCACAGTATCTACTTAAAGAATGTCACCCTGTATCTCCATGAAGGATACAGGCCACCGAGTAAAGGAGAGGAGACCCCGACATCCTTCTACATCACAGCACATCTTTTATTTTAGTCATCTTTGTACTGTGATCAGTGCGGAGGTCATTTCTTTTAACCATTTCCACTCCGAAGCTAGAGGTTGGTCCGGTTTGCTGCATAGGGCAGGAAGACGAAGCAGCTCAACACTCCAGTTTCAACCAGGATCACAAACCATGACAGCTGCTAAGGAGAGTTATAACACAGTCTTTGTTTGTGTCGTTCTCATGGCCACTAATGTGCGTGAGTGTAGGGCTGGGCAATATGGGGAAGAAAATAACACAGTAAACGGAAGATCTTCTTCCAATATCAGTATTTATCACAACTTCTCTTAAGGTATGCAAAATTCCAACATGAAATTATCGTTTTGATCTCCATCACATGATATAGTAGAAAAAATAAACAATTAATATTTATATGTTGCCCAGCCCTATTTGAGGATGTGTAAACATGATCTGCAGAAGTTGGCTGCCACAAAGTCTAAACTTCTGTTATTATGCACATTAGAACCAAGCTTCAGCTACATGGTGTCCAAGAGTTCAGGTTTAGGAGAGTATAATCCATATATTGCCTGTTCATTATGATCCACACATTATGGAAGCAAGTCAGAAGCACATTTGTTCCCTTTTGCTGAAATAAATGTTACGACTGTAAGAGGATAAAGATGATGAAAGAGGAGGCAGAAGAATGCGCCACACCTTGGGAAAGATAGAGCCCTCTTAACAAACAGCAATTAGAAGGACTGCGACATAAGAAAGATGATCAAAATGTTTTGATCATAAATTGTTCTCCAGGGCCTAAATACTGGCATTCACCTCCTGAATGTACATTGTTGTTATTGTTGTTCAAAGAAGGTCTGTTTCATTCACACATCACTGCACCATGGACAATTTAGGGAACCCATTGCTCTGCATCTCTGCTCATCGGAGACAGCCCTGTTCTTCAGTGTTGACCCGGAGGTACCACGATGGGCTCATAAATTGACACAGATAACCTGTTTTTTGAGGCGAATATGGAAAAGAGACCTGACATTGAAAAACACAGAGAGCCAAGAAAAAAAGCCGATGGCCACACCTCTACCATGTTCAGGGCGGCACTGAAATCATCATGTGCATCGTGCCAAAAAAACAGAAATAACTTGATTGTCTTCTCTAAATGCAATAGTGCCATTCTGTTATGACCACTCCCATGCTTTGTGTTAGCATTGATCACTGTCAAAGAGCACATGGTGACGGAACCAGAGTTGGATTTTGAAAAAAGTAAAGCAGCACTAATAATAAACAAATGTGAAGTGCAAGGTTGGGAATTTCTCTAAGACTGTTAGCTCATAATGAACCTTTCAGACTGTGTTGGGCAAAATGATTGACTTTAATGTCAAATCTGAACTGGGGCCAAAGGATATGGCATGGAGATTACTTCATGTTAGAACTTGTCTTGTGGTTGTGAGAAAATATTCCGGTTTTGCTTCAGCTACCCTCAAAGGAGTCATTTGCCTTGTTAGCATACACTGAAACATACAGGTACAACCAGTTTAACTGTAGAGCTTGACGAGCACTAACAGTACAAAGTTTTTGGTTAATTAAAGTCACAGAACAACGAATAAACAACTGTCACTGTAGTGAAGAGATAATATTTAGTGGTCTCTTGCTGCACTATGTAGTGATGTAGTTTCACAGAGCGCCATATTATATAATATTACATCCCCCAACAGGTTACATTTCGTACATGGCATTCACCACACTCAGTCAGAAGTCAAGGCGACGTTAATGTGAAAGCACAAGTAATCAGGGTCTTGAATACTTACAGGTTTGCACATGTCAGTAAAATTGGAGCAACTTCTAATAAATGCAACTACTGAGAGACAGAAAGGTATGGCTGCTAAGGACAATGATTTATAGAAATCAGTAATTACAGGGACCAGCGCAGCCATCACAAACGCTCTTGCACCCACATTGCTTAGAGACTTTTGAGACTTATCAAGCAGAATTTTCCAAAGATGTAGGAAGCCTATAGTGTTGTGTAAATCCGAACGAGAAACATTTACATGGCCATAGGGACAATATGGCACCACATGTCTTAGAATACATAACCAGTTCACTGTATTGATCAAGTAAGCCTACAGTATATATTCCAGTATCATACAAGATAAACATTTTTGCTATTTCGAACACTGAGTGGATGACGAAATGCTATGTAACTGCTACAAGTTGACAAAGTAATTGCACAGCATACTGCGCAGCAGTGGTCAGTGTTTTACTTTTTTCTTACGTTTTTGTTGTGTATATACAGTATCTGTGCTTAATATTGTGTGTTTTTAAGGGACCTTGTGCAAGATGTGTTGTAGAGATAGTCTTGAAACTAGAGAGTGAACACTGCTGATATTTTGTTTTCATAGTGCTTTACTGCCTACTTCAGCATACAATTCAACAGACTTGCACAGAATACTGCACATTTCTCACCATGCTGTTAGTTCAGCACCTGGGCTGGTTTTTATCGAGCATGTCAAAGCAGGAGAGGTCATCTGTTTTTATATTCATGCCATACTGAGTCAAACGGGTATGGATGAAATGGGCTAATTCACTTTCTGGATGAGAGTTGGACAATAAGCTCGATACCGCTCTTATGTCTGCATGCTGAATATGAAGCAAGCACCAGTGGCCGTTCAGCTTAGCTTAGCATGAAGACTAGAAATGGAGAAACAGCTTGCCTGGCTCTGGCCAAAGGTAACAAACAAGCAGAGACTCCAGGAAGTCACTGCCCTCCCCCTTAAAACCATGACAGTGGTATCAATCTTTGCATCTAACTCTTGACAAGAAATATTTTCCCCACAGTTCTACCTGTTTCTTTAGCCTTGTGTGCTTACTTGCAAACTGAGACTGACAAAATAAACCAGAGATAACATTTGCCAACAGATATGTAACAAGAATAATCAGATTCTAAAAGCCGTGGTGAAGAACAATGTTTGTCACCACAAAGAGGTCACTCTATAAGACCACAGCTTAGTTTCTAAAACCATAAAACAGGTACCCTGCTTTGAGATGCTTGGTGGAAAACCTCACAACATATTTTCCAAATGCCTTTTAGATATATTGTTCTGCCTTTAGCCATGTGCCACATTTTATACCACCCAGCAGGGACCTCACTAACCGGAACGTGGTGAGTGGCCTGATTGTAGCCCTCCGTGGGCACACTTAACTCCACGACACAACACGGGTCAACAGTAGATTTACAGATTCACCCAAGCCACCATTAACTTTACCTGCAAACCGTAAGACTAGGAGCTGCTCAAAATCTCGTACCATTCTGCGGTGTTTGCTTGTGTCAAAAGTGATACTGTGCACATAGGAAACCTCTTTCTGACCAGGCCAATATTTAACAATAGTAATCCTTCCTAATCTCATATAGAACAGCTGAAGTTACAGTGCCATCTGACCTTAATAGTTAACAATGCCAAAAAGGTCAATACTGTGTCATAAATGCATATTTATTAATGACGTGCTTTTCATCAAAAAGCAGATACTACCATGGTGATTGATGCTTCATTTTGAGTGGCTCCTCAATAATGCAACATACTGTACTGGACATGAATGTAGCCAACTATATCACATTTTGTAGAATATCTACAGCAGTCTATTTTCCTAAAACGGCTTAAGTAAGCAATCCATCGCAACATCTTTTCAGGATTTTGTTGAAAGGTTCATACTACAAGTAAGCGGCACAATAGACGTAATGAATCATTTGTGCTGCACGGTGTAGTACTGCAGTAAGATGCAAGCACAGCTTCAAATCCTCCATATCAGCCATGAGACACAGCAACAGCTTTGCCTCAGCATACTAAACACCATAAGCTTATTTGACTGAATAACTATTAGACAAATGTGGTCTTGCCTGCATGATTTCTTTTTTATTTGTTGTGTACAAATAACATTGTGAACTGTATTTTTTGTATCATTGAGATTGTGACTGTTGTTTTTATTATATTGTACATAAAAGGCACTTTATTTTAATTTTTTAAGATAAAAGAATAAAATACATGTTTTGACACATGTATGTGTGAGTCCATTTTATTCTGGAAATTGCTCTTTAGTCCGACTTTTGCATAGAAGGCATGTTTGAGAAAGAAAAAGAGAGAAAGAGAAAATAGTAAATCTCTTTAATACCAAATTCACATATTTTTTTAGATATGAAAGTAAAGCTGAAGTATTTAAACCTATTTGAAGTTCACTGTGCATACATTTCCATAAGAGAACTTGCTTTGATGTTCTGAAAAGAATAAATAAACATAATACTGTGTTTATGTGTGTGTGTGTGTGTGTGTGTGTGTGTGTGTGTGTGTGTGTGTGTGTGTGTGTGTGTGTGTGTGTGCGCGCGCTGTATATATGTTGTGTCAAGACTGGGTTTGTTTTCTTTACAGTTTGTCTCTCTGCTGTGGACTTTGAATGCTGCAACAAGCACACGAGAAAAACTCCACTGGACTCTCCACCAGCACTCAAATCCACATCAGGATTACTTGAATATCAAGGACCTGCCCACATAAAAGATCTGTCCTTTCTCACAACCTGGAAGCAAGAAGTTCATGAGTACATCTTTAAATATAATATTTCAGGAACACTTAATTATTTCGTTTTGCTCTTCTATTCTTCACCACAGTTGCTGCAAACATTAAGCAACTATTCATACCCTCTAATACTTGTTTACTGCATATCACTGACCATCTTTTGCATAATACATCTGCAAACATCCAGCCTGATAGGATGACTGACAGTTTACTGTACTTTACAGACTTTACTGTATTAAGGCCACATTGCAGATGGTCTCTTCTGAGAGAGGGAAAATGTATCATCTGTCATTGTCATGTAATGACAGATATTATCTGGCCATTCAGGGAGTGCTTAAAGGAAACTATAGTGAATGTAGTGAAATGTAAAATCTGACCAACTAGCAATATTTTATTGCCAGTTCTTGAGCATTATTACAACTAAGCAGATCTTTGCACTTATTTTCTAAAATTCTCAAAAATCTTTAAAGATACTATGAACAAACTGCTCTATTTGACATAGATTCACCAAAGTTTTAAATACAGCAGGTCATTTCATTCTTCTTTATAAAATTAACACAAAAATAAATGAGCATTAAACCTTCATTCTCACATTCAGATAATTACATTTAAAAAGCTCCTGTCTCAATCTCTTCCTTTAAGTGTCCCACAGGGCTCCTAACCTGGCCAAATCCTCTTCTCAATTTGCATCAGTAGTCTCCCATACTATACTAACAGTGGATCAGTGGTTCTAGATCTGCCTTGTCTTGTTTGGTCTGGCTGTACAGTAAATCAGAGAATTTAAAGTCTTGGACATTTATAGGGCAAGTGTGACATTATGACAGGTATTAAAATTGCAACCCACTGAGTACACAAGTGCACACGGAGATTTGCACACAAAGACAAGCGATATGGAGAGTGGAGACTGAAGAGGAGGAAGAGGAGGAAGAGGTGGGATGGAGTTGATGACAGTCAGTAGCTCTTTTCTTAATGCTGCTGACTGTGTAGAGTGCTGGGCTTTGGTATGTCTGGTAATGATACATTTATTTCCTGGATTGATGTGTAAGAATGGGTCTTGAGAACGTTTCATCTCCTGACTTTTTGGTTTGTTATATTAATTTTCATTGCATTTATTTCTGCTGTTGAAAAGGGCAGGTTAGACCAGAGTGAAGAGCTCTACAGAAAGCGAGCAACATCACTCATTTGTCCCTTTTTAGATCTATTTACCAAAGCAACAATTTAATCATCAACCATTAGTATGTGTGTGTAATAATCTGCTTCTGTGCTGACTTTGTTGTCCCGTCAGTAACTCCACATTTTCCAGAAGTTGGTTTCACTTTGGGTTTTGCTGACATTTCAAAGACCAGACAGAAGTAATACTACAAACACAGAAGTGGAAATGAAATAAGCTCATAAAATACCACTGGGTGTAATTATAAAGGTCTTCTAAAGATCCGTTCTGCAGTATAAATAAATGATGGATGCCGCTACTTACGTCCAGACATCCCCTGACAGCCCTTTTGTTAAACTCTGTAGTCACATATCCCTTTTCACATGTCCACTGAGCCTCTGTGACAACATTTTTTTTTTTTGCTTTTATGTACCTGCATCAGGATTTTTGTAATTACAACTTATTTCACTATATGTACTAATGAGAAAGTGCAAGTTCATGGACATGCCAAAAATTGACCCAAAAGTCAGAATTCTGTTGAGACCTCACACCCAAAATTATCCTCCACATGCACAAAATGTTCTGCATGAATCTCTGCTCAGACAGGACGGTGCACTGTGAATAAATCTCACCTTATTGATGTCCTAACAGCCCTGCTGAGACAGAGATCAGCTGCCAGCAGGAATAATAGGCCTCTTCCCGCACAGACTGCACATGAGTATGAAAGCTCTGATGGTCACATGGGTGGAGCTGACCGTGACTGTGCAGAAGACTTTGATCCAGCATCTTTCCTCAGGATGACTCAGGGTTAATAAAAACAAAAAGAAGCCTATCCATTCCCATCTTTTTTTCGTCTATGTCTGCCTGTCTTTCTATTTACTCTGAATCCCACTAAATCTCAGGGTATTCTCTCTCTCTCTCTCCACGACAGATCCCATTTACTTTCAACACCAGCCGCTCATCTGCTGTCACCGACCATTTGATGAAGAGCAAAGACGGTAATTTGCTATTCATTATTAACAAATCACTGCGCTGTGAAAAGTGCCTTTTGTTTGCCTCAGCCTTGAAAACAATTACAGTCAACTTGCATTTCAGCTGTGATTGCATTGCATATTTCATGGCAACGCTTCGTTGACAGTGAAATTGAAAAGCAGATTTACTTTTCACAGTGAATGGAAGGAAGTGGAAGATCTTTTAAATCAGCCCAGACCCAACTTCCCAGGTCACACACTGTCATCTCTCTTAAAACTGGGTATTCACATTAATATTGTTGAATGGGTGATGATTGTAACTCATCCAGTAATAACCCAAAACATCTCCTAATTAAAAAGAAACTTCACCCAGAAGTAGAATTGACAAGTTTTTCCCATTGACCTAGTCAGTTTGTTCCAGTCTTGCTTTCAGAGAATAGGACATTGATTTTGTGGACACACTAAAATTAAAAAGGAATTTGAGTCTGTACAGTGTAGGGTCACATGGTAGACCGGGGGAATTTGTTGTCACAGTGTGTACAGTCCTGTGATACATTGGCACAAGCTTGTGTCATTATACTGAAAATGTGAGTATAGTTCAAATTCCTTCTCTTTTTGTGCTTGAAAAATTGTAAAGTAATTTATTTAGATTTTTTTTGGGAATGTTCACTTATTCTTGATTTATACCACTCTTATGTCAGTATGATGAATATAAAGCCAGCAAGCCATTACCTTAGCTTAGTACAAAGAGGCGCTGGTAGATGGATTCCGTTAACTCCATTTACCAGCGCCTCTTTGTACTAAGCTAAGGCTCTAAAGCTCACTAATTATTAGTGTCCTATCTAACTAAATGTAACAACGTCAATTAGCTCTTTTATAGGAGGTTATGGGGACTATTTCATGACCTGGAGCAGCAACTTCCTGAAATCTCTAACTAAGTATTCCTTCTTAATACTCTGATCAGGCAGCTTTTTTTTTTTTTTACTCAAAACTGTTTAAAAATGTAATGATGAATGTAGCTCAAATTGATGTAAAACCTCAAAAATATACCAATCATATAATCCATAACCCCAAATTGTCAACCTCTATGTCACTGAAAAATCAGCAGCTTTAGTTTGCATAAACATTGAGTGTAAAATGGGTTTTGGGGTTGTATATTCATCTTTATTAGTGTTTCAGCAAATAATTTAGCTCTAACAATCGATGATAAATTACACTTTTCACATGGACAAATACACACATGCATCATATTGTACACGTGAGCATGTACAGATTTTCCTGCATGCATGAACTCATACAGTCTTGTATGTGTGCATGTGTGCAGACATTTTTACATTTACTTTCCAGGAGCTCAGGTGGCTCTCTAGTTCAGAAAAATACATTAAGTAGTAAAAATGAGCTTCAGTTTCTGGATTACCATCATAAGAAGCAGTCATGTGTGCAATGGGTTAAGAGAGCAAGATCATTAAAGAGTGACGCAAGGGAGGAAAAGTAAATTTTCTCAGTGTCTCCACGTACACACAGCATTGATGGAAGTAACATACTGCAAATGTGTTATTCCTTCTGTTCTATTAAATGTTTAGTGGCAATATAGAATTATATTGTCCTGAAATATTAAAACTACAATTGTATTATTAAATATTTACAGACATATCAAATTTAATTAGTGTTGGGTGAAGCTTGTCATTATGCAGCAGCATGAGACATACCTTTAGGAGAATCACAGCAGTCTAATGGTTTACAGTCGATGTATGTACCTCCTGCCTCATCATTATTTATAGAATAATAACTAAGAAGAAACAGCTTCTGTAATAAGGTATTGGGAGCACACTGTGGCATTCAACCGGTTACATGATTTATAACATCGATCATTCATTGTGCAGTCATTATCTAAGTGGTTACTGCAGTGTCACTGTTTAAGAGATGTATTCTTTTCAAAAAACAAGCATTATTAAAACACTGAGCCGCCTTCACCCTCAGCGTAATCAAACAGGAGGAATACCTGCCAGTGGCTATATTCATCAACCACATGATAGGCACAATAATCATATATTTCTGCAAAGGAGAATCCTGTATATGCTTCCTGTCGATGTAAAATAAAATTGCATGTAGCTGACAAGTCTGGATAGATAGAAGTGCAACTTTGTTTGAGATGGTGATAAAAATGGAATTATTAAATGTGACACAGTTCCCAACCCTTGGACGATAGAATCACATTGTTGTGTAATTAGGGGGTAGCACCTCTGGACCAGATCTTGTGTGCTGTAAAGTGGTGGAGAACAGTGAGATTATACAGCCCCAAGTTTAAACTCAGTCAGTTTTTCTGCCCTGTACTGATCTCTGAGCCCTGTGTGTTTCACTACGACTACACAAACCAAGCAGGAGTACTGAAAGCCAGAAAGTGGGACATTAACCTATTACCTGTATACAGAACCTTTATACAAATGTAATATTATGGAGCCTTTTTAATTATAGTGTGGAAATGGTACTGGACTACATCAATAACCATTAGCACTGTGCATGTTCTATCAGTCCCAGACCTTTTCTGGTGCTTCTTTGACACAACTACTAATTTCTCTTGTGCTCTTTTACTTCAGATTTCACGTGCAGGTCATTTTGGATAGACAGCTTTTATTTTACCTGTATACATCATATTTTATTTTTACCTAAAAACAGTACTTAGCTGAAGCTGTATTTCTGAAGAGCAGGTGTATAAATAGGGTTAGACTTAGATTATCTTTGCAGTGGGTATTTTACAGCCATATTTAACATACGTAAAGCCAAGCAGCTACAGTACATTGCTGTCTATCTTCTCCCCAATTTGTACTTTGACACTGGACTATTCAACATGGTAAATAGGAGAGCAACGGTTCTGCTACAACAATGCATTTTGCTACCCTATCTCAATAAATTCAGCAGAGAAGGCATAAAGAGATGAGGCTTCTTATATGAATTTAATTAAATGAGCTGACTCCTGTCTTTTCTTTGTGTTCTGCTTCTCTCATTACCACTGGGCTCTTCTCTTGGTCTGTTTTAAGAAAACTTGCCAGAACCCACAGTCAGTCTGTTGAGCCTTATGTCTGAATTTAAGTGAGATCTACCCAAAGCTGTGAGTATCATGGATGATACTGGATAAGGTTTGAATTTTCTTGAATTTAAGCAACTTGCTGATTCTGCATTTGTTCCTCATCACTATTCAGCTCTTCAGCTACTTCCCCTGCTATCTGAGATGGAAAAGAGCTAAACTGGTGACTTAATTATACGCCCTGTAATCTGAGAACTGAGGATACAAACTCACTGGATTTCAGTAAATAGACACACAGCTTATTGACTATAAATAGGCTGAGCTGTAGCTTACTGGCTCAGTGAACACTATAAAATATTAGCAATATGCACTTTGTGCTTATGTTGGAGGACAACAGTCATGATACAAATGTTCTGTAATAGCAGGTTGAGCAGGTTATGTATGTGTCCGTGCGTTTGCTTCATTTCAATAGTACAAATAACATGTTAATCCAATGTCCCTTTTCACCTCAAAAGACTTTTAAATGTCACATTGACCCTTAACCTCCTCACTGTATGTGTTCTTGTGACTGGCTTAAGCAGAGCGAAGGCACAATAACGCCATAATCAAAATCAGCCATTCTGACAAATCCAGTGCTGCCCAGTAAGAATACAGTTGAAAAAATATCTTGGTGTATGCTTCCACCTAGTGGCCCAAATGCTGCAGCAGTGTTATAATGTCTGCTGGAACTCTTGGTTTAATTACAGTACACTTGGCAGACACCAGTGATACACAACACTGACAGAACACAGATGTATCCTTTTCTTAACCACAAGTTATGTGGGCAGGATCTTGTGCTATTTATGGAAAATGGGAGCTATTCTGTCCTACTAATATCAGTATGCAAGGGCATGTACTACTGAATGTGAACTGTATTCCGCTTGTACCAGCTTCCTCTGAGCCGACCACTGTTGCAGACTGCACCTTGATAGGCTGGTTAACTGTTCAGTGTGTGCCATCCGTGACCTTAATACTGGATGAAGATCTTCTGCTGTGCTGCATTAATTTGTGTACATTATTCATAATAGCCTACTGTATTTTCCTGGGATGCACACATTGCAGACCCTGATACACCATTGATTGAAAGAGGGCATGAGCATACTGTACCACACCAGCTGCGCTGTTTATCCCGTAGTGATGTTGATCGCATCCTGTCACAGAGGCTGAGAAAATGCAGTGGCAATCTCTAAATGATTATCAACTTTTCATTATTTGCAACAAGTTGTTGGCCGTCTCTGAGTTAACTGTCTCTTTTGTCAGATTATCGAGTCCATCTCCACGAACCATGTGATAAAAGCCAGTAACGATGCACCTCATTTAATAAAAACTGGCACACTAATCAAGGAAAAAGTTCTATATTGAGAAATCCTAGCAGGAACATTGTAAGAGGATTAGTAATATTTTTATCTTTCTGTGTTAAACATCAGAAAAGCACATTATCCAGGCTGTCAGTCCATACAATGCTATTTATAGATTGAACTGTTGATGTACCAGGAAGGTTCACCTGGTTTTAAGGGCCTGGGTGAAATTATATTTTATCACTGCTATATTGTTTAACAATTTGTTTGTAGTAGGTATTGTAAGTAAGTATTTGCAATGCAATTTTCTAATAGTTTGACCACATTTCTATCTGTGAGAAACTGAAGTCAAATTACTCAAATACCAGAATACACTGAGGAATAGCTATTAATAGTTTATTTACCAATGATTCCTCATCCCCTGTGCCATAGAAAGTTTTCAATAAATTGCATCTGAATGCTACGCCAAAATAAAAGTGCTACAAGATGTAACTAACGTAACTATAAAGTTAATGTTGGCCATTCAATGCCCGTGCAACAGAAATACACATCATGTGAAAATGTTACACAAACTGTCTTCCAACTCCAACATTCAGAATAACTCAAGCAAGCATGAACTAAAAAGATAACACTTTATTTAAAACCGGCTGGGGACATTTTTGTAC